CAAAACCAAACCACCTATTTTCATATGACATCCGAAAGAAAGAGATATAACAGAAGCAAGGCTTTGTAACACAGGACCATTACATGCAAGGACCATGCTTTGATGGTCTTATCTCCACTGCCAGTATAGATATATCTGTTTCCTGAAGTGGTCAAAGAATGAATACCACTATAGCGCCAATCCTTGGGTTCATACCATTTCCTTAATGGTTCTTGCCCGAAAGGGATACTTGCATTCCACAAATATATTCCACCTTCACTATCACCACTTACACACAACGGTTCTTCTCCATCCACGTAAGCTACAGCCATGACTTTATGCTCATGACCTCTAAATGTATGCAAGTGTGAGAAATCCTGCATGAAAGAGCCACCTCAAGAAACTCAATGCAAACAGTAACACCTAGAAACCAACGTAGAAGGTGAAGAAGACGGCCAAAGAAAAATAGCTTATATCACATTTATCTTCGATAATATTATTTTTTCTCCATTTAAAGCTGGTGATGCTTACATTTCAAACCCTCTTTAAGAGATCACCGGTTGCAGTTAGAGAGGCAAAATTGTAACTAAATCTCTGGTCAGCTGATTCTATACGATAGACAAGGTGACAACCATAAATTAAAAACAGATTCAGATTCTTGGAGAAATCAACTTTCCAGATAATAATTCATTGCACTCCAGTGAGAGATATGGCATATGGTTTGAACCATCAAAGGAACATATTCTTACAACGTCTGTTCCTAGTTAAAGATCAAATTATTTCCAGCACAATTTAGTTAAAAGGAAAGAAACTCCAAGTCATTCTGCAGACAAAATCATAGAAACGCACCAGGAACTGAAAATACACAATGGACAACAAATAGTCCTAAAAAAGATTGGTAGGTTTCTGTGTTAATAGAACTAACGGAAAACTTCAATGCGAAGGGTTTTACCTGAAGAGACCAAAGGTTGATGGATTTATCAAATGAGGAGCTAAAAAGGAAATTCCCTGCAAAAGAAAAAGGAAAAATAGATAGTTAGACTATTGCTAAAATCACTAAGCATCATGATTTCCTTTCCTTCTGTCTCATGGAGGCAGACTTCTTTGCAGATTATCTAAGCATTTTCTAATAGAATCGTGCTCTATCAAATTGTATAAACTAAAATATTGAAGGTGCTGGATCTATTCGACAAACCAACCATATGTTGAGGGAACTTTAGCTTCAAAACAGTAAAAGCACAAGAAACCTATTGTTATCAATAAATAAAACGGAACTATTGATGAGATTAGCTTTTCCTGTCAGTATGATAAAGTACATGGGTGACAACTGAGAAAGGAGTCCTTTCACAAAGCTGCCGGTGAGATTGAAATTTAAAAATTTTTAAGCTTGCATTTGCACCCATGCATGCTTGATTCTGAACTAGTTAAAGAAATGCTGACTAGAGCATTTGGCTAAGAAACCATCACATAAAAAAAATGAGAACCATTATTCGAACATAATATCATATATGAAATTGAAACATGTTGAAGAATCCATACCTCCAACAGCTAATCCAGTAATGCAATCAAGATGTCCCCGCAAATCTTTATACTTGACAGTTCCATCTGAGAGGCCATTAACTAAATGTTTATCCATCCTGTCCTTCCCAGTTTGGTTGAAGTCTGTTTCACCATCATCCTCAGTCCCCTCCCACTCATGCCCTCCTGGTCTTTCAGCTCTTTCTTTGCACTGCCAGTATAGGCTCAGTTCTCCTAGAAACAAACAATGGCTTGTACTCTCCTTCCAAATTGTCGAATTCAAACTAACCATGCCATCAAATTGGGGCTTAATAATCAGTTCCCTAATGCATTTCCATATGTCAGGCAATGGTGGACGACTCCCTGGAACAAGATTTAAGCATTTGAAAAGACTCTGCTGCACTGACTCAAGTTTTCTACCAAATTTATAGTCCAAAGAAGAACAGATTTTCCCCATCCACCCAGTATTAGACCACACAACATTCAAAAAGCTCTCGTTGCTTATTTCTACATTCTTACAAGGTAGATACTCAACTAGCTCATTGGTGAATTCTTTCCCAACAAGAATCCTAAGCAAAACACAACTTAACGACCAAACATCAGAGCTATATCCAACTGAATATTTTAAACCACCACCTTCTACTTTAATGCCTTGTCTTTGCAATAATTCAAGCAGTACCTCGGGACTCACAAATATCTCGTTTGTTAGTAAATCAGTTAAGATCAGATCCATTTCTCCATGACCAGTTCCTTCACCAGAACCAGCTTCCCCAACAAGTCTACAGATCCTCCTTTCCATCTCTAATATCTCATTCAAATCAATATATAAATGCCCAAGATCATCAAATTTAAAGCAAGAAATGCTCAAACAGCCGACAATCAGGCCTTCTTTATGCAGACTAATCATGGCCTCACATATTTCCATAGCAATAATAGAAAAAGTGAAAATCCCATCTTCACCCAAGTCACGCAACTCATTCAATAAACATCCATTTAGTCCCTCACATACTAAATGCAAATAACCATCTTCCAAATTACCCCACAACCCCAATGTCTTACACACCCTGTTCTGCTTCGAACACACTCTACAAATAAAACTCAACTCATCAGTCTCCTCCTTTTTCATTCTACTCAAACAATTCATGATCCTCTCAACATAACTAAACTTAAACACAGAATCATCGTCACATGACAAAGACCCAACCCGTACAAGGCTTACCTTCGTCGTCTCTCTCAACAAGCCCCCACACAACTCGTCTCCTTCTTTAGATTTAGATACTAAAGAAACAGCATCTTCGGGAAGCACCCAGTCCTTCCAAGCCGAATAGAGCTCATCGGACCATAAGCGAGGAACAAAATTGACTTGTTGGTAATTCGTGAATGGTTTGTCGGGTATTTGGGGATTTGCCTTGGAAGATGATGGGATGAGCCTGAGCAAGTCGATGTTCTTGGGAAGAGAAGGAGGGCCCTGAGGAGGGAACTTGACAATTACGTTACACGCAGGACAGCGAATCGCGTTGGGATACTTTTGCGGGAGGTTGACGAGGCAAGTCTCGCAGGCAGTGTGGCCGCAAGCGAGTACGCGAGGTATTGTGTACTCTCCGTCGTAGGACAGGAGGCACACCGGGCACTCCGGTAACTCTATGTCCATCACCAGTTCCTCACCTACCTTGGGTTCCCGCCAACGACGACCGCCATCAGACGAGTTCTGGTCGTCTTTCCCAACGCTTTTTATACAATACGCGAACGTTGAATAATCTGTTTCTGGCTTTCCGGGGTGTTTGGTTTCCGTGTAAAGTTAATCCTGAGTTTTCAACTCTTTTTTCAATTTATTCTGTAACTCTTTAATTATTAAAATTAAATTTATAATCTTTTATTTTTCTTATGAACGAATCCTTTAATTGCTTTTTTCTTTGGTTAAAATTCGAATTTAAATCCTTTAACACCACAATTATATTCTGAAAATTTAGAACTATGCTTATTAATTCATTAAAAAAAAATTGAATAAAAATTAAATAAAGGACATTTCCAATTAATTTTTAATTTTTTGGATAAAAATTTATGATAATAACATAACTTTATAAGCAAAATACATAAAAATTATTTGCCTCGAACTCGCACTTTTACAAAAAAGAAAAAAAACTAACCATTAAACGAGTTAAATATTAATAAAAGTAAATATTGAAATACAAATTTAGTTGTTATACTCTTTATTTTTATTTGACTTGGTATTTGTCAAAAATTTGTGATAATTTAGTTTTTATAATTTTAAATAATATTTCAATTAGTCACTCTCTATTATTTACATTTAACACTATTAATTTCAGATATTACATGTTAATTTCTTGATACGTGATATATTTAAATATGTTTTAACTTATATCAAATATTACGTGACATATGATGTATCAAG